TTCATCAATTTTTTGAGAAAATATTTTCTTTGAAAAATTGACCTTTTAAAAGAATATAAAGAAAACTACACCATTGACATAATACATATCTATTACTTACAGTAAAAAATATCTTATTATCTACTTATGTGTTTTTACGATGTTAATACTGTAAACACTATTTTACCCTATTTTACAAAGAAATATTATATTTTTAACTGTGAAGGGATTGTCACCTGTGGACATTTTAGACTGTTTTACATAATTTGGCAGAGGCATAGCCTCTAAAGAAAGGTTGTCTCTGCTGTGCACAATAGTTTGTTCCTGATGATTGGACATGGCGAATAAAAGAAGATATTTTTTATTATCTGTTTACATGTTTTTACAATGTTAAATTTTCTTATTTAATTTACATTCACATGTAAAAAATATAAGTTTAGATGGTTTAAATAATACTAATTATATTGCATTGCTAAACAGTATAAGTGTTGAAATATTTATTATAATTAGTGTTGAATATCAAGTATCTGTTTTTGTATTGGGTTACCTGAGCATGCATATGCAGTCATTACCTGAATAATTGATTATGCATGTACTGTCGAGTGCAAAATGGTTTTCCTCATCGTGACGTGACGTCACGTCACGTAAGTGACGTCATTTNGCTGTTTTTAATTGTTATTTCTAATGAATTATCATTTTCAAATTTTAAAAGATCAATTTTGCAAACTAAACTTTTTAATTAGCTAAAATTATTAATTAGAAAAAAAATTCTTTTAGAATCCCCAAATTATTAAGATTTAAAATAAGACATTTTATTATATGTAAAAATAATTTACACAGACCTGAAAACAATATGATTTTGGAAAAGAGAAAAAGCAGTTTTTTAATTCTTTTATAGATACATAGCCAAACAATTGCCTTAAATACTCAGGCTGTAAATCTGCTAATTTTAATAATTAATACTAAGTAATTTGCTACTGGAGGTAGACATTAAGCACCATCTCTTATCTAAATTAACTTTTTAGTTACCATAACCAAAATGATCATCATCATCAAAATGAAAATTGATAATGATAACATTTAAATAGCATATATTTGCTTGTATTTTATTTTCATTTTCATACTAGTTCATAAAACCTACATTCAAATTAAGGATGTGGAACATAATTGTGAGGGGTTTTAAAAAAAAGTTCAAAAAAATTTTATTGATATTAGATTATTAGGATTATTATAGATTGTTCTCCCAAATTCATAATTTTGCCTAACATTGTGTCTTTAAATTTTAAAACATTTTACAATTTAAACTTGCAAATTGATATTACAGGATATTAAAAATTCAGCATGATTCCCTAGGAAACTTAATCCCTTGCATTTGGCAACTCCCTCTGTGTTAATTTTATACTTCTTCATATAAACAATTAATATTAATTTCAAAGTTTTACTTAAAATTTTTTTGAAATAAAATTGTAAAAATTAGCATGTAATTTTAAGTTCTAAAAATGATCTGTAACTGTCAGTAAAAATTTTATTTTAGCATTAAAATAATTTGTGTAGAAGTCATGATTTATCCTGTCTGCTTTAAGTAATTTTACAATAATATGAACTTATAATGCAAAAAAATTAAGAAACAAGTTGTGTAACTTTCCTGGCTAAAACATTTAAAACTGTATGTAGTGCCATCTGTTATATTTCATGAAAAACTTATTTTATTAACTATTGCAGGGCTTCTTAAACTTTTTTTATTCACGACTCCATTTATGATTGTAATTTTTTTCGTGACCCAAAAAAAATATAAAATGAAGATATATACAAATTTGCAAAAACAATAATGGTGTACTACCACAGTTCACTCTTGTGTTACAATGGAACAGAGACAACTGAATACACTGAAAAGCAACAACACTACACTAGTTCACACTACAATCAGTGTTGCTGAATCATTGTCTCGTTGCACCAGAAGTGACACAAAGTTTGCCATTTTCAAACTCACAAATTATTTTCAATATTTTGCATTAAAATCTCGCGACCCCAAAATTTCGCTAAGTGACCCCCAAATGGGGTCACAACCCATAGTTTAAGAAGCATTAACTGAACTATTGTAAAATGGCAAAAAGCTTAATTTTGAGGATAGAGACAAGTTTTATAAAAAAAATTATAAATGCTAATAAAAAGTAAAATCTTCATTAAGTCTGACCCCACTCAAGATATGACACATGATCCCCTCTATTTCCCCATCCCTTGACCTTTATCCACCAAAATTTAATATCATCACTCCCCCTAATATGTTCAAACATTTTCAGTTGTTAATTTTTGTTTGACGTTTTTACTATGCAAGTAACGGGTGCCTACGACCCAGACTACCATGCAGCCGGGATGTGCCTCTTTTGCAGTCTCCTCTGTAAACAAGGTGCTAGGCGTAATGAGCGTGTTAGGACACTGGCCCGAAGATTCGTAAATAAAAAATTTTTTTTCATTCAGTACATATGAGTTTTCATTAGAAATTTTATTTAACTTCAACCTTATTTATGTCCATAAATTGGTTCTTCATACTTGACATAAATCAAAAAGTTATTTAGTGTGGTAATTAATAATGCATTTACAAAATAAATTTCCTAAGATTTCAATGAATTTCTATGTTGCACAAATTCTTGTTTAGGTTCATTCTCCCGAAAATAACTCTTGGTAAATCATGCCCACATATGAAGTCAACATTTTGCTAATTTTTATACACAGTAATATAATAGTTAGTTGTACCATTCCACAGTTTACATTTGTTAAATTATAACAGAAAAACTTAAATTAATACTGTATGTTGTTGAGAAGTCCAAAAAACTACATGAATTTCAGCATTTTGCATCCAAATTATATTGCTTACCTGGATACAAAATTTTCTAGTGTTCAGCACTAATTATAAAACAGTACATATTTTTGTATTTTAATGGATATTTTAAACTTAATGTAAATACAAGATTTGATAAAACTGCCTATAATTCAAAATTACCTTAGTTTGTAAAATTTAAATTTTTTGTGAAATTATAGTTACACATTTTGACTTCATACCTAATAAATTGAGAATTTCTAATAGCTTAGAAATAAAATGTCAGTTGTATATAAATGTAAGATGCTTTATATTAAACTCAAAAGATCAATACAGACCTAGTCCAATTTATTTTATAGGACATTATTACTTTTTTAAATAATAAAATAGGATGAATTGCTTTTTGGGTAAATGGTAAAAGATAAAATAGTCGATTTTACAGTGAGCAATCTATAAATGAATTCTAATACAACATATTACAGTTAAGGATCAATAGGAACTAGTTGGGAATTCTTACATGCTAACAAACACTGTAAAAAAATTAGAATTTATCTTATATTTCACAATTTAATTACTCATTAAAGAATAAATCATGCAGTTTTTTGGAGTTGCCTGAAATCTAAGGGAATATATTTTCAAAGCAATAATCAATTTTACAAATATCAATTATGCTATAATTATTTTTAATAATATTGTATGTAATATACATAGATTTATTAATGATACAAAGTTTTTTGTTGCATAATCAATAATTTGTAAATTGTTACTAAGGGATGGTCAAATAGGTTCATTCCATTTAGAAAAAACTGCCACTGCATTAAAGAAATTATCCCATTGATGAACCAGGTGAACAATGCAATTTCTATCAGATAGGCTGTTGCATAAAAAGTCTGATACAGCCTTCTTCACATCCAACTGAAACCATCATCCTTTCAAAAAACCAATGATATGAAAATCTCACAGCAAGAGATCTGGACTTTACAGTGAGTGTTCCAGAGGCTCCCAATTAAGGATTTCTTACTTCTACTTGACAACATTGTCAACAGAATCTTCACGGTGTGTATTGTTGCAATCTTCATGGAACTTTGCACATCATTCCACAATGGTGTGCAAAGGCCTGTATTCCCAAACATCTTCACCATTTGCAATTGAACAACCATCAGTTCATATCCTTCTGCAGCCAAAACACAGGACAATGCATGTTTATCTGATATGGACATATTTGGTAGAAACAATATCATCACAATATGTGTACCACACATAATTCCAAATACAACAAATACCTAGTTAATCATACAGTTAGAACATCGGCTTTGCTTTGACACACACTGGACATAGTACATGTCACTAACACGACTGCAGTGTGACCAAGCCAATAATTTTAATCATTCCTTACAGATTACAAATTGCAGTTTATTGTAATAAAATCAAATAAAATGTTTACTTAGAAATCCTTTATGAATAAAATATTTTTGAGCATTAATACATGAGTTATAGTGAGACAGGTAAATCACATATAAATATTCTTATGACAGACAATTCAGGATCTCCTGCACCAGAGTCATGTAAGATTATACAGAGCTAATTACAGTAAATGAAGCTGTTTGCAATGCAATAAAAACATTCTCAGCTGCAGATGCATCACACTTTTCATTGTATTGTTAGTAAACTACTGTGACACTTCAGGTCAAACATGTGGCAATAATTAAGTGTTAAAAATGCATAAAATTCTACTAAGAGATATTTAAAAAAAAAAAAACAACAAAATTTAGTAGAAAATTAAATGTAATTGTAAAAAACAACACACATAATATGGTGTTAGAATGCCCATTTTTCTATATCTCAGCCTGAAAAGCATGTCATGAAACCAATTAGCATTGTATTTCTATTTTACCATATATTTTCATAAATATGGCATGAACTTCTTCAATTATCCAAATAATGAAGTCTTCCAGATACATACGTATTTAAATTTGGAAATTTATTTATTAAGTAATTTCAAATTCATGCAAAAATTATATTCGACAATTTAAATGTTTGCATAAACTTTACTGAAAATAAAGCAGACATGAGTTAATATGAGTCAAGTGTTTACAAAATAAATAAATAAATATTAATTATTATCTTTTTTTCAAATTAATTTAATTAGCCGACCATATATTCTAACACGTTATTAAAGGATTTATAATAAAAACTTACGTACAATATTAATGAAAAATATCAAATTATCCACGTAGAACTTAAGATAACATCAAACATATTCCCGTTTCCGCCATATTGCGTACGTCACAACTTTTAGGAAATATTTTAAAGGAAATTTAATATTTAATATATATTATATTTTTAATAAATGCATTAATATTTAACTATAATTATAATTCATTTCAAAATTAGAATAATTTTTTAAATACAGTTTTTTATTATTATTGTTTGCATACGGGAACGCGACTCGCAAGCCATTTGTCGAGAGGAATGTCTCCCGGGAGAACTTTTTATGAAAAATTGGCCCCTATTTAGATGTTACAAACCTGAAGGAAACCTGAAAACTCCAGGTCGCCAGCCCGCTGGCAAGTCGCGAACCTACGGTCAAGTAACTACTCGTGTTTAGGGTTTCTCATTTCCCGGTATTTTGCTTGTCCCGGGATCCCGGGATAAAAGTGAACTGTTTCCCGGGATCCCAGGAAATCCCGGGATAGAATTAATTATTTTTAAGGTATACAAAATATCTTGAAATCAAATGATATAATTATTTTCCATTTTTTAAAGTAATTTTAAAGTTCTGTAACCTCCAAAATCATATTAATAATGCTGTGTAAGGTCTATAGGCCTATAATAAAAATTACCTTTAAATAACGTAGAAATTTTCACAAATAGAAAAAAATTAATTAAAGTTTGCTGGAAACTGCATACAACAACAACAAAAAAAATGTTTTGAATTGAGTTAAAAATTAAAAAAATGAACTTCTAATTTAGAAGGTAATTTTCGTTTTTTAAATAAAATATAATACAAAATATTGCAAACTTTTATAAGATTTTAAAAAGCAAAAATGGTCAATACTCCGATAACTCACTCTAATTCTTATTTTAGTAATGAAAAGTCTTGCCACCGAGAATGCCCTTTCCGATTCAATTGATGTGATTGGAATAGTGTTTAAAGTTCCGCTGCATTAGTTTTCTCAAAACAATTAAAATTAATTTTTTATGCAAAACGCGGATAAAAATATTCATTAAAAATTTTTAATCGCACCAGAATTTCTTATATTCTTCAATTTTTCTATTTTTCAAACCCAAGAATAGTCAAGTTATAGAAGTGGATTAATAAATAACCAGCCAAAAGCAATAGCACAGAATTTAAACATTTTATTTTAACGGAAATTACCCCAAATGCTCAGACACTTATCCTTCTATGATATAAACCTACTAATGCCGGATGGCCGAGCATTAGTAGGTTTTCTTGTATAATCGACGACTATATATACAAGATTTCTCACGGGTTAAGGTGGCAGCCCATCGCTCTGGGGAACCCGGGATCGAATAGGGACGGATCAAGGAATCCCCAGGAAATTTTCGGAGGGTGATCCGTTCGGATATGTCGGGCCCCGTCCCTCACCACCCGGTCGCTCCATTGTGGGCCTGACCGAACCCATAATGGGCTTGCTGTAAAAGGCCCTCTTAGTGCCAACAGGGCAGAAAGAGTATAAAAAAAGGCATCCCGACTGTTGTATGTCTCTCGTGCTTGTCAATTCTTCCCGAATTTTTTTGCCTATACCTTAACCTGGCCAAGAATTAGGGCGTATGGACCATACACCTGTTGCATTCACTGATGAATTGCACTAGGTCCACAATCTTCAGCGACTGGGAACTGATTACACCATATTTGGACACTTCCAATTTCCTCCACGATCACGCAAATGCCGGAGTTTTACTCGATTAACGTAGTTGGAAAATTTATTTGCCTCGAGGGACCAGTTTCGAATTTATTGTAAATGATAATTTTTCACGGAAGCTCTTTCTATTCGCTAATTTTAAATAACTATCGATATAATCGGTCGGGCGGACCCGATGGATTTTACAGTACAGTACATCAGCGATATTCTCGTGCAACAAATTCAGCCGAGTCCAAAACAATCGACGACTATATATACAAGATTTCTCACGGGATAAAATGTAATAACTTTTGTAATCCAGATCCAGTCGAAGCATATTTTCTCAACGAAATTTATTATTATAATAATTCCCAAGCCATTTTCCCCCACACGTGACAATTCTTACCGCGAGTTAGCTTTTTCAGTAATTACCCATTGTCCGCTACCCTTAAAGAAATACTTGCTGTTTCGCTTCTTACTTACTGCTACACCATGAAATTTCAGGCAACTGATAATAGGGCGTCTTCTTTAATGAATTTTATATCATAGTAAAGTTTACTTTACGTATATGTACACGATGTTATTTAAGTACGAAGTCATTCATTGTACGCAGGTATATGATACTTCTTCTCTTACGAGTAGAAATTTGTATATATATCTTTAAATAGATAATATGTTATATATATATGCACTGAACACTTTTTGCCTTTTATTGTGTTTTATTGTTGAAGAAGTCACAAAACCTAAAGATTTACAAAAAGTTTTTGAATCAATTCTGAAACGATTTCCACACCGTACTTTCTCTTTTTTATACGTATTTACATATCAGCCAGAAAAGTGAAAGCCACAAAGACTATTTCATATTCAAAAACGTTTTTCTAAGTATGCTAGTTTTTTATTCGTAGTTTTTACTAAATCTGTTAGGTGTTTGTTGCTTATGTTAAACAATTAGTTGCTGTTTCGATTCTTTCTTACTGCTAAACCATGGAATTTCGGGCAACTGATAATACAGCGTCTCCTTTAATGAATTTTGTATAATAATGAAGTTTACTTTACGTATATGGATACGTTGTTATTTAAAGTACAAAGTTATTCATTGTAGCAGGTATATGATACTTCTTCTCTTAAGAGTACCTATTGATGTTGTGTTTCTTTCTTCCTCCCTCTTATGAGGGAGAAGTCGAATAAATAAAGATAGACTATTATTGTTATGAAATAATTAACAACTAAAATAATTTTTCCTTTCCACAATAGTAATAACAATTTCAATTGAAATTGTTTCTAAAACTATAATATATTCGCTGCAACAGCAATCGTTCGTCGTCTGACGAATAACGAAAGAAACAAGACCTTTAATTAGCACATCGGCGTCGGTTCCATTCGTTTCGAACTTAACAAAAGCAAAACTGTGTAGTTTCCGCTGTGCTACGAAATTGAAATGAAGAAATTGATGAACAATGTTCAATGGAGAAAGTAGCAAAATGAAACGGTTAGCAAAGAGTGGTTTCAATTTACTAACATTTGGGTCATGGGCCCAGTACCTACCATTGAGCCACTCTGGTATGTGTAGTCTGTCATTCCATATAACCGATTGTTTCATTTTTGCAACCATAATAGATCACGGTGTTACTTTTCTTTATCACCTACTTATACAGCTGTTAAAAACAGGTATTGCAATCATCTAAAAATTTCGATTTTCGAATTTTAAATTAAATGAAAACGCAATTTTGGCTTTGTACAATGCGATTAATGTGGCAACAACCGTGTGTGTGTGTGTTTGCGCGCACGTATGTTTCCAATCCTACCAAACTCTTTAACACTAAATCTGGTACTTACCGAAAGTGACATATTTATGTTTAGCATTTTGCAGATTTTCAATTGCTAGGTGCTCGGAAATTACTCCAACGGCGTTCAGATTTCGCAGAGAACCACTTACTTTTTAATAGCGTTGTATCATTTCAGTTTGAACGAAAAGTCGCCTATTCGGAATATAAAAGATATTATAACAATGAACATCTAGACAGTTCTAGACTGTAGAAAAAACTCCAATTTTATTCATGTCATGTTCACTACATTTTACGATAATTTAAGATTTATAAAGAACAAATAAATACGCGCCATCGATTAGAAATCGCTGTGTTATCGTTGTAAGTATTTTCTCGATCTTAATAAGGAATAACTGAATACAATAACTACGGTGTTTCCGGATTAAAATACGTGAAACGTCAGAAAAAAAAGTTAAAAGATTAGCAGAGAGTGGTTTCGATCCACCGACCTCTGGGTTATGGGCCCAGCACGCTCCCACTGCGCCACTCTGCTTCTGCCAAATAAAAGAATCTATTTGCTTTTCATACTTCCTATTTAAAGTACAGTGAAATAAATTTGTCACTATATAGATATTATCTGATAATGAATATATCAGCAATTATACACAATGAAATGAGTGGATTTAACAGCAGTTCCAACTAGCAGAACACAATGTTTTTAATTTCAACTTTTAAACTACGATGAAAAGCACGTCGTGTACCATATCTAGTTTATTCATCGTCACTTTGTTTAACTGAAGCATTTATTTTTCTACGAATGTTTGTTTTCATCTAAGAAGGATTTATAAAAAGTTCAAGTGTAACTGTAAATAGAAATTATAATTTTTCGTCATTTACATTACATTAATTAAACAGAAAGTTAAAAGTTTTTTTCAATTTTCAAAATATACGCAAGGAATCTTTTAATACGACCTTTTCTTTATATTATATCTGTAATGTTGCAAAATTTTATTTGCATAATTTCGATTATTTTTAAAGTTCCAATATTTTATTTCGTATTTTTTAAAGATGGTTTAAATTAATAACGAAAACGGAAGCAAATACGTATTACCTTCAACTTAAATTGTTAAAAGAAAAACGAACGTATTGCATTATGCACTCCCAGTTAATCGGGTGATTGGCAAGTTAGGATGTGAGAACCTGGGATACCTTGTTCACTACAGGGTGCGAAATGAAAATGTCTGTTAACGATCGGGCTAACGTGTTCTCGTCGTCATAAAAAACGTCTTTTGATATAAGAGTCTCATTACCTCAAGCTAACACATTTGATAAACAAATAAATAAAACATTATAATAAAACTAATCTCTTACAAAGAGTTTAAAATCATTAATACAGAGAAAAATGTGAAAAATATATCATACGAAAAAGAAAAAAAATAATAAAAGAAAGTTCAATGATGCGCTCATTTATTGCATTTGAAATAAAAACTCAATTGTACTTGGATAAATGTGACTAAATCTGTATCAATGAAATGTTTTTTTTTCACATTACAGAATGACTTCTTGATCAACTTTCACGCATCCTCACATCAAAATATCTCTGATGTGCCCCGGCATTTTTGCAAAAAAGTGGCAAAATCTTGGCATCTAGCGCCATGTTTATCTTTACTCGTTAGTTGCGAATTCTTGGGTTTATTCATCCAACAATTCGGCCTAAATTAACTAGGAATAACGAAAATGTTGGTTAAGACGGTGTTCATACTGAATGCCACTTGATTTAGATTAACAAAACGTTCTTTTTCCCAGTTGTCAAACCCGTCTTCAGTTTGACTAGATGACGATAGACGTAGTCGAGTCGTGAGGGATGTTTTGTGTGGTTTACTTAGCGTTTATACTCCTTTCGTGACGCACTTAAGGACTCCCCGCGAGACAGGAGTATAGACACTTACTCTGAATGCTTTATTCGTGGTCCCACTTGGACCGGGCGATCTCCACTCTTATAAAATAGTCAAAGCCGTCGATTTTACACGCCCTTCTCTCTCTCTGGTGTTGCCAGAACTTCCAAAACCCACGAATCCATTTATAAAAGATTTCTCAGTTTATCGTCACTCGAATCCGGTTCAAAATATGAAACGCTTATTAAATATAATATAATTGTCTAATTATAATTATTTATGAATTATTTTTTACTTAAATATAATAAAATGCAAAATATATTTTTTGTTACTTTCTGATTTCATATAAAAATATTATTATTAATTCTTATTCGTTTAATGAATTTCCTAATTACGAAATGAAACGTATTTAAAAATATATTTATTTATTTATTTAAAGAGTTCGTCGTGGTTTGATTCTTTACTTTCTCGATGCGGATAATTTTCCTTCGAATGAATTGCAGGTTTGCAGTCAGCCTCTTTAGTCAGCTCGTAAATCCAATTAATGTATCTGGAGACGTCTGTATAAATGCTGGGTAGCATCTTTTCACCACAATTAAATCCGTGTGAAGTAATGGCGAAGGAGACGTAATAATAGTCAACTTTAAGCAGAAGCGATGATCCCGAATCTCCCTTTAACATGAAAGCAAAAAATATTGTTAAAAAAATAGAAACTTTAGTTACTAATAATCATAAAATTTATGGTTTTTTTTTAATAACCGTTTACTTAATTAATAGGAAGTATTCAAACGAAGAGTTTTTGTTAATTTTAAGTTATGCTTTGTGAGACATTCAAGATATTTCGAGTTTTAACTAATATAATTATAGATGAAATGTACACTTGTACAGCATAAACAGAATATAATAGCTAATTATCGAGATAATTGTTTATATTATTCTAACACTTCTCCATTTTTCTTCTGACTGTTTAAACGTTTACTGGCGAGATGTTTTGTTATAAGGACAAAAGATAAAGAACAGAAGGAAAATATACATAGGTAATTCAGCACATCTATTGATATATTTGCCGTGGGCTTTATAAACTTTGGCATAAAGTCAAAATACCAGGTAGAATTTCTATTTCTAGCTTTATCTACTATTGAAGAATTAAAAAGTAAGATCCAGAATTTATTATAGATTATTTTATATTCAGTTATTGAGCAAAATCGTGTGCCAATTTAATGGTAAAGAAATATAAATGTACTGGTATCAAGATAACAGTACATTTATCCAACGATTAAATGATTAAGTGACTAAATTAAATGAGTTCCCATGACGATAGTAAGTACACACGGGTAATGAATTTAGCTTTGATTATTTTCCATTTATTTTATAGTTTTTATGTAATATCATTGTAATAATTCCTAAAATTTGATGACATTTCTGAAATATATCAGTAACTTATTGTTACTTATTTATGAAAAATGAATTAAAAATAATTAATAAAAACTAATATGAAAAAATTGAATTATTACGCTATAACCTCACTGGATTTTGCATATACTGTGTAAGAAAATGCATGAACACTTAATTAAATTTTGATTTTTCAATTTATCATCATAATATAAGCCTATAATAATATTATGCTAAATATCTAATATTTGAACTACACTAAATGAATATCGCTCAATTGTATTGCATATACAGTAGAGCAGTGTTTCTCAAAGTGGGCGATAACGCCCCCTTGTGGGCGCTGGAGGCTTTCAGGGGGGCAGTAGAAGGCTCAAAGAGAATTGGGGGGCGTTAAAGAAATATAGAGGGGCGACGGCAGACAAATTCTATATATAAAAATTCGACGGAATATATATAAAATGTTGACATTTTATATATTTTTTATTTTTTATTGAAGGTCACAACTTGAATATTTCTAACACATTGACTTTTATTTTAGCTCAGCGTTTCTCAAAGTAAGCAATAACGCCCCCTTCTGGCGCGATGAATAGATCTATGATAGAGGCAGGGTATTGAACGGTGACCAAAGGCAAAATTGGGGCTGATAAGAGGAAACATTGCGTTTAAT